GACCAGACTGGGCAACATAGCGAGACCCCGTCTCTATAAAATAAATAAAAAAATTAGCCGAGCGTGGCGGTGCATGCCTATAGTCCCAGCTACTCAGGACGCTGAGGTGGACGCCTGAGCCTGGGAGGTCAGGCGCCTGAGCCCAGGACGCCTGAGCCTGGGAGGTCAAGGCTGCGGCGAGCCGTGATCGTGCCACTGCACCTCGACTCCAAAAACAAACAAAACCCCAGCTCTTGCAGTGTTGAAAACCCCAAGGATTCAGCTCATACACCCACATGCTGGCCGACCTGTAAGGGCCTCTCCTGCCCTTCTGTCTATGGTTCAAGTTGCCTCAGTTTCTCAGATACACACTCGCCATGGCCCTCCTCGAAGGCTTCCCTTTTTCCACTGTCACTATGGGCTGCCCCCTCCTGCTGTCACTTGGTCCTGATGCTGCTACTGTCCCTGAGGCACTGCACCCAACTGTCTGCCACAAAAGTGGGTGAGAACACCTGTCTCCTCTGCTTTGGACCTCCTAAAGCAGAGGCCCACAGCAGGGGCGTTGCCGGCTCCCTGCTGAGGAGGTTCTAGCAAAGTCCTCCTGCCGGGTACCCCATGGCCAGGCTGGGGACTCTGCCCTCCACCCCGTGTCTGTGCCTCACTGCCTCTCGATCCTCCTGCCACACAGACCCTCCCCCAAGCAGGGAAACACCGCTGAGGTCCAAGGGCCCAGCCCCAATGCCCTGAGATACCTGAAAAATGCAATGTTCCAGAAGGTCAGTGTTCTAGAGCTTTTGGTCACTGTAAGGTCAGAGGAAGGCCGGAGAGTGGGGAGGACGGGGTCCCTGGATCCTGGGATATCGCCCTGCCCCTGCCTTCTAAACTGGGGAGTGGGAATTTGCAGTGGGGGTGCTGCAAGCACTCTAGGGGCAGCAGGGGTCTGCAAGGGACCTGGAAGGTGGGTGGGAAATGCACAGGGGGACCTGGCTTGTTGGTTTTTAAAATTTTTATTTTATGAATTTTATTTACTTGTTTATTTTTTGAGTTGGGGGTCTCATTCTGTTGCCCAGGCTGGAGTGCAATGGCATCATCACAGCTCACCACAGTCCTGACCTTCTGGGCTCAGGTGATCCTTCTGCCTCAGCCTCCAGAGTGGCTGGGACTACAGGTATGCGCCACCACGCTTGGCTAATTTTTAAAAATTTTTTCTAGAGATAAGGTATCGCTATGTTGCCCAGACTAGTCTCAGACTCTTGGGCTCAAGCGATCCTCCCACCTAGGTCTCCCAAAGTGCTGGGATTATGGGCATGAGCCTCTGTGCCCGGCCAGTTTTTAAAAATATAATTTTTAAAGTTTGGGGCTCCTGTGATGGTTAAATTTTAAAGCGTGCATCTAAAGACCACATGCACAGAAGCAGTGGTCCCTGGCTCTCTCCCCACTCTCCAGGCAGGCCTGTCCTCCAGTTCCTTCCAACTCCTGGAATGTGCTCATACCTCCTCCTTGATTAGCCTCAGACACCCCCATTAACTCCTCGCTGGAAGCTGAGAGGTAGACGCCCCCCCCAATATTGCTGGCTCTGGTCTCCCCATATGACTCTCCAGGACGTCTCCTGAGACTGCTGGCTCCCCCTTCCTGTTCTTCATCATTCCTTCCCAGGCTTCTACCTCTGTCCGGCAGCAGCGGTTGCTTTAATTTTACCAAGACTATGGGATGGAAGGAAGTGTGTCCAGATTTCAGAGGAATGCAGACCCTGGAAAGACAAGACCCCATAAGCAGCTGGATGTGAGGAACAATCAGAAGTGGGAGTGTTCTGGGTGGCTCAGGGTCTTGGCTCATGTGGTTGGGCAGAGGATGGGGCGAGATACTGGGGGAGAATGGGGAGTGTGAATACCTAGGGGGCATCCTCATGGTGCTGTTGGAAGGGCACTGGCCAGGCTGGCCTGGCCACTGGGAGCAAGCACTAGGCATCAGCAGCCCCTGGGCAAGACGTGGCTGAAAGTGCCTGGGAGAACACACAGACTGAAAAGAGCAGAGGGCACAGGACCAAGGCTGGAAGAATGCCACGCCTAGGGGAACAGAGGGACTGTGGTGGGGTGAGGGGGTGGGGGGAAAGGATGCGCTCTACCCAGGAGGAGGGTCTGATGCTGGCCAGGGATGACAAGGACGGAATGCAACCACCGCTTACAAGCATGGAGACAACCCCGATGCAGGTACAAAGGGCTCACCTGGGCAGGGGTCAAAGTGTCAACAAGGGGAGGAGGAAGAGAGGCTGACAAGGGGGAGATGGGGAAGACTTCACTTACAGGCAGAGGGTTAGCCGCCCTGAGAGACAGGATGAGGAGGCGGAGCAGTGCTCTTGGGGCAGGGGCTGGGACCAGGACATGGGGTGGGCTCTGGAGGCAGGCGGACGTCCCCTCCACCCTATGGAAAGCGGCAGGGCGGGGATGGGATGGGGGCAGGTAAGTCTGTAATTAGGTAGCAAGACGCCAACCATCCCCACACATCAGAGGGCACCTGTCTTCTCCCTGGAGCAGAAGGTACAGCCGCCAGCTGAGGGTGAGGTCGGGAGGGAGGCCCAGAGTGAGGGAGGCGGAGGTGAGGCTGCCGAGAGTGGAAGGATGCCAAGGTGAAGTGCAGAGGCAGCAGGTAACTGAATCCTTCCAGGATTTCTGTGGGCCAGGAGCCAAGATCCTGGTGGCAGACTGGCTGAAACGGGGACCGCACTGGCTGGAGGTGGGTGAAGCAGAAGAACAGAAAGTTCAAGGAACAGGAGGTTGTGGTCAGAGTCCGAGAGGGCCAGTTGAGAGGCACGCAGTGCTCGGTGACGGTGAGAGGAGGCATGGCCAAGGGGCTGGGGGCCAAAATGGAAAGAGGTGAAGACCCTTGACAGGTCAAGGAGTGGAGGTCAAGGTGGTGGATGGAAAAGTCTCCAGGGAGGAAGGCACCTGATGGGGGATGAAAACTCAGAGGTGGACACTCAAGGGTTCCCTCCAGGGCAGGGAGGCAGGTGGGTGTCTGAGATGAGCTGGGACCTCAAAGGCACAGGGTGTCTTACCAGACAGGGGTTGGCACAGTCCATGAAGCCCCTGGGGGTCTTGGCCCCGCCTCCCACCTCTGATGCTCTTGACATAGTGCTCTCAGAGGACAACCAAGTTCCAGGGAGGCAAAACCACCTGCAGGGAAGAGCTCCAACCACCAGGGGGCGTGATGCTCATGAAATCAGGGCTCGTGAGGTGATCATTCAACAAGGATTTATTGAGAAGCCTCGTCTGCTGGGTCTGGAGAGTCACAGTCCCTGCACTCGTGGACTGAGACCCTGGCAGAGGTCCAATGGAGAGGCTTGGGGCAGGGGGGATGTGGAGGCTGTGCTATGGCGGGGGGCTCAGAACACAGGAGAGCGCAAAGGGTAAGAAAGAGGTCTATAAGGGTGGCCTGAATCTCAGCCTCGGCTTCAGCTGGAAAGGCCCAAGCCTCCGCATCCAGAGGCCCAGGCAGCCATTCACGCCTTGGCTCATTCCTTGACCGAGAGTTAATGGATGCCCACATGAGCAGGACCCTTAAGTGCATGGGCTGGAGGGGCGGTAGGGCCAGGTAGGGATGTTGGCTGCGGGGTTACAGGAGGGTGGCCAGCAGCCAGAGGGCCGCACTCGGGGCCCTCAGAGGCCTGTTTGAGGGCCCAGGCTGGGGCTGATCGGGAGCCTCTCTAAAAGGCAGAGTGGTGGGAGGGTAACTGGAGAGACTTCCATTGGGACTTAGCCTTGGGGACTTCCGTCAGAATCCCCAGGGGGGACTCCTGCCTCAAAGATCTGGGGTGCTGTGCCTTCCCCTGATCCCCTCATGGATGAGGCACTGAGCTGGGAAGCTACGGAGGGGAGAGGGAGGGAGAAAAAGTGATTGAGCCACTGGGACACGGGGGCAGAGCCCCAGAGAAAGCGGCTGCGGGGTCGCCTTCGGGCCCGGCGCCGGGGACCCATGGCCCTCTGCAGGTGGCCAGGCTGCTCCTGGGCACCAGCAGGATGGCTGGGAGGCCCTGTGGGAGAAGAGGTGGTGAATGGGACCATGTGGGGAGACCAAGTCCACCGGGGAGCAGGATGTGCCCCAAGGGGCCAGTGGAGGGCACGGCCCAGGCGGGTGGCTCCAGGCACTCTGCGAATCAGGTGGCTGATCCCAAGGCGGATGGCGGTGGGCTCCTGGCAGTTGGCAGGCTGGCTGGGAAACTCGGCGTCGTCTGGGTCAGCAGCTTGCTCAGCGGGGTGGTGGGGAGGCCAGGCTGGGGGGCAGCATGTGCCGTGGGGCAGGCAGGAAGCCCAGGCGTGGGAGGCTCCTCGTGCTCTCGGCGGGGAGTGGGTGGGCCCAGACGGTGGCTCAGCAGTCTCCAGGGGCTCCGTACACTTTCCAATACAGAACCTCAGACTCAGGGCCCCCCATCCAACCTTTCACTATTCTGATCTCGTTTTCCCCTGCACAGGTGACAGACCAGTCGCTAGTAACAAACCTCCAGGGAGAGAGGGCCCTGCCAGGAGGCCACTCATTGCACTCTATGGCCCCTAAGTTCTTTCTTACGTGGTATCAAGCCTCGCTCGCTTGGCCCCTGCACAGCTGCCCCGTGGCCTCACTCCCCTCAGTGGCCCCCTCTGGCTACAATTAAGCAGGGAACGGATGCTTGTCCTGTTATCCTCACTGAGGACACAGAGGATAGAAAATGCATAAGGAAGTTCCAAAGGTCCTGGACATTTCAGGAGACAGGGCTCTGAAAGGAGACAGAACTCCGAAAGGAAGCATGCTGCTGGAAGAGAACACTTGGCACTGAAGGCTCCCGCCCTGGCGTGGCAGAGGGCCTAGTGATCCAGGCATGTGGGTGGCATTTGGAGACTGTCCTCAGGACAGCTTAGGGCTCACTGCCTCTCTGGCAGACTCCCCAGGCGCAAGGTGAGTCTGAGCGTCACCTGCTGCGGCTGTGCCCTCTGGGACCCGGAAGGGGGGGAGGCAGGAGTCCTAGGCCGAGCTTCTGAGCCACTCACCGAGTTTTCAGCATCTGAGTCTTCCGAGCTGCTGATCACCACGACGCACTCCTCTGAAACAGGAGGGGAGACAGCATCAGGCCCTGTTGGGCACACCCTGGGATGGGTGAGGTGTCAGGCCATGGGAATCCTCACAGGCCAGAGGGCTGGGGATAATGGATGCAGAGGGGGCAGGCACCCCGTGTGTGCCTTGTGTTTGAATTATTCACAGTGGGTTCCTGCCATTTCTCGATGTGCCTTGTTTATAAATATTTCATTAAGCTCTTGGTCCTGAATTCAGATTTTGCTCCCTGTACAGAAGGCTTGACAACCACCACCTGGTCCAGAACCTTCTATGGCCCTTGAAAAACACAGTGGTTTGTCCCAATTCTCCGCCCTGTGAGCTGGAATATCTAGAATTAAGAGATGCTTCATCTGCTTAACCAAAGCCCTTTGATTACCAATAGCACCTGGGGTAAAGAATATCAGTCAGATCTCAGTGTGTGGCCAGGGCCAGGGCTTAGTGTGTGGCCAGGATCAGGGCTCAGCATGTGACCAGGATCAGTGCTCAGCATGTGACAAGGATCAGGGCTCAGTGTGTGTCCAGGATCAGGACTGTGTGTGACCAGGGTCTGGGCTTGGTGTGTGACCAGGATCAGGGCTCAGAGTATGACCAGGGTCAGGGCTGGGTCTGGGACTTAGAATGAAGAACAAAGCTGTACTCTGGGTTAAAACCTCTCTTGTTCCACAATTTTCTGGGTTGATCTCAACTCCTGCCCAAGGACTCCCTGTCTGGCAGTGTACATAAAAGACATCTCAGGTAAATGAGGTCCTCAGGTGGTGTCCTTTGCAGAACACCTTGGGGTAGTGATGAGTGGGGGCTTTCCCCGAGTCCTCTCAGTGTGCTGGTCGTCCCCTGACTAGCCTTGCTTAGGGAGACCTGCCTTGTGAGGGGCATGGCACTGGGCACTGTCAGATAAGCATTTTGGGGACAGGACTCATGGAACTGTGCATTTAGCCCCTCAGGCTTCCCATGCTGAAATCCTGGCCAAGCACGCACTCAGCACATGCACCCTCACACCCAGACAAACCGTGGGCTTCTCTGCCTGATACAGTGGCCACAGGACACACAAGGGACTCCCTGGCTTGTGTGTGCTCCCAGGTGAAGTCAGAATGTGGAAAGGGGCCCCGCCTGGACCCTGGCCCCACCTGAATCCTGGACCCACCTGCCTACCTGCCTCCCGGGCACCACTGGGCACGTGGTTGCTGCTGGGCAGGAAGACCTTGCCATCCATGGTGGGGCTCCCGGGGCTGGGCGGTCCATCCCAGTGGGATGGCAAGACCGCCTTGGAGGTGCTGGGCCGGGGCGGCTCGGGGGAGCTCGGGGCCAACCTGGCCTTCTCCTGGGCCAACCTGGCCTCCTTCTCCTCCTCAGACTCCAACTTGATGACCTTCCTGGGGCACTGGGTCTGGCAGGACTTCCTCTTCAGGGGTGTGGTTGTGTGGGAGACCTCCTGTGTGGTGGGGAGTCACAGGGCCAGGTTAGGGGCCTGCAGGGGTTGGTGGGTAGTGACCTGCCCTGGGCACCAGGCTCTTTGCCCCTGCCTTGCCCTCTGCCATCATGGCCTCTCCTCTGCTCTCGGCAAGGCAGATCAAGCCTTTCCTCTAGCAGGAAGCCCTCCCGGGCTGGTCCCAGCTGCTGACTGCCCGTCTCTGCAGGCCCCAGGTGTTCCGTGCCCCCTGCTGGTCTGGGAGCATCTCAGACTTAGCAGGGTGTTTTCTGATGGCGCAGCCAAGAGCAGGTGAGTTCAGAGTAGCTGCTGAGCCAAGGCTTCCTCGCCGAGGGCTTAGGAAGGCCTGGTCGTTCAGCCCAGTGCCACCTTCCTGGAATCTGGGCCTTCAGGAGGGGAGGCCGGCCAGGCAGAACCTTACCTCTCCATAGGAAGAGTCTTTGATGGAGAAGGCGTACACGGGCACAGGGTGTACACCAGGCACTGACTGCACCACAGCCACGGGTTGGGCCTCGGTCAGCCCTAGGGCCTGTGCCTGGGCCTGTGGTCTCTGTGCCTCCTCAGGCTGCAAAGTCAGGAAAACAGAGTCAGGAGTAACCAGGTCACAGGCCCAGGGCAGGGACCCCAGACCCGTCGTCGGCCCAGTCCCCAGGTTCAGGCTCAGGCTTCCTGATCCAAAGCTCACTGGGAACAGGCATCCTCTCTAAACTCTCTGTCACATCACCTCCTCCTGACCCTGAGTCACCAGCACCCAGGGACTCCCTCAACAGTGTGTCCTAATGGGACTGGAAGATCCTGCAGGGATCACACTGCCCAGGTCCACCTTAAGACTCGCTCAACAACTAGCCCAGCTTATACAGCTCCAGGGATGGAGAGTTCACTCCTGACAGAAGCAGCACCTCCAATAGTGGTAAAGTTCTAACAGTAAGATCTCCCCACTGAGCTGAAACTGGCCTTCCTATGGCCTCTACTCTGCCTCCCCAGCCTTGACTCTACCTGGGTCAGTTATTACACAAGTTGGACAAATTACTTACAACTCATCAGGCCTCGGTCCCCCTCCGCAAGATGGGAATGATACCATCCACCTCACATGGTAATGTGGATGAAATGTGTTAATACAAGTAAAATATTTAGAAGAGCTCCTAGCACGCAGAAAGTGCCATGCATCGGCTGGGTGCAGTGGCTCAAGCCTGCAATCCCGCACTTTGGGAGGCCGAGGTAGGAGGATTACCTGAGCCCAGGAGTTTGAGACCAGCCTGGGCAACATAGTGAGACCTTGCCTCTACAAAGAAATGAAAAAAAATTAGCTGGGTATGGTGGTGCTCACCTGTAGGCTCAGCTCCTTTGGAGGAAGGACTGCCCAAGCCTAGGAGGTTGAGGCTGCAGTGAACCATGATCATGTCACTGCACTCCAGCCTGGGCGACAGAGTGAGATTCTAACTCAAGATAAAAAATACATAAAGAAAGTGCCATTCGTGATGTGATAATGATGATCATCACGGCAACAATACATAGTTCTTATAACTACTCGGTGCCAGACACAGGACTCAGTGCTTCATGCACCGACCTCAAAATGAAGCAGATATAGTTCTACAGACAGTTAAATGAAGAATCACCACATGGCCCAGACTTCTCCTCCGAAGTGTACACCCTGAAGAATCGAAGACAGATGTTCACACAAATGCTGGGGCAGGACTGTTCACAGCAGCACTAGTCACGATCGCCAAAAGGTGGAAGCAGACCAAGCGTCTATCCTCTCATGAACAGATCAACAGTACATGGTACAGCCATAGGACGGAGTATGAATCAGTCTTTAAAGGAACGTAGTACCGACACCTGCCACAACGGGGGTGACCCTGAACATATTATGCTAAATGAAAGAAGCCAGACACAATACACATGTTGTACGATCCCACCTCTGTGAAATATCAGAATAGCTAAATCCAAAGAGACAGAAGGGGGATTGGTGGTTGCCAGGAGATGGGGGAGGGGAAAATGGGGAGAGACTGCCTGGTGGAGATGGGGCATCCTTTTGGGTTGAAAATATTCCAGAACTAGATGGGTGATGAGTGTACAAGTCTGTGAATGCATGGGAGGCTGAGGCGGGAGGATTGCTTAAGCCCAGGAGTCTGAGGCCAACCCGGGCAGCATAGCGAGACCCCATCTCTTAAAAAAAAAAAAAAAAAAAAAAGACTGTGAATGTACTAAATGCCACAGAATGACATGATTCAAAATGGTGAATGTTGTGTTATATTAATTTTACCACAATAAAAAAATACAGGGAAAAAAATAAGTAGGTACCATACCGTGATGATTTACCAATCTACAGAGAGGGAAACTGAGGCACAGGGAGGTGAAGTGGTTTCCTGGGGTCACACATCTTGGGAACTCCGGCCTGGCTTGAATCTGGTGTTTTCTACTGGAAGCTCCCTTCCTGCCTCTGGGCTGCCCCTTCTCTCTTATCTGGGGCACAATTCCTCGATCACATACAAATGAAGCATACCCTGGATCGTGTGGTGGAAATAAGCAGTGCCAGGGAGGTGCTTTCTTCATGGGGACAAGCTCAGTTCCTCCTGAGAGCTGTGGCCAAGCACAGGCTGGACATGAGTTAAGGCAGGGCAAGCCCCAGCATGGCGCTGACCACAGGCGGGTCCTTTCCATGGCCTCCACCGTTTGCTAAGATGGAGTGACTTCCTTCCCGCCTCCCTCCCTTCCTCTTTTCCCAATATCCTTACAAAGAGAAGAGCCTCTCTGAATCAGAGAGTGTGCGCCTGTCCGGGGAAGGGGAGAGATGTAGGACCTCCCAGGGTCTTTTCTGACTTCTAGAAAAGTCTACAATCACCACTGGGCTCTTGAGACCAGTGTTTTTCACACTACAGCTTGTGACCTATGAGTGGGTCATTCTGGTGGGTCATGACCAATACTTTTTATATTAAAGATGATCACACAGAATAGAAACTCCTAGAGTTCATCCCAAAGCATCCTTTGTTTTGGAAAACTTCGGTTTTAGCTACAGGTATGTGTGTGCATAGGTATATACTGTAAGCAAAGATGTAAAATATATATTTTACCGTCAGTGGTGGTGAAAAAAGAGTTGAACCCACCTCATACCCATTAGGATGACTGTTATTTTAAATAAGAGAGAGAGGAAGAAAGAAAATAATAAGTGTTGGTGAGGATGTACACATACCAGACCTTTAGGCACTGGTGATGGGACTATAAAATGGTACAGTCAAATATGGAAAACAGTATGGTGGTTCCTCAAAAAATTAAAAATAACCCGGGTGCAGTGGCTCATGCCTGTAATCCCAGTATTTTGGGAAGCAGAGGCGAGAGAATTGCCTGAGCCGAGGGGTTCGAGACCTGCCTGGGCAACTTGGCGAGATCTCATCTCTACACTAAATCAAAAAATTAGCCAGGCATGGTGGTGTGCATCTGTAGTTCCAGCTACTTGGAAGGCAGAGGCAGAAGGATCGCCTAAGCCCTGCAGGTCAAGGCTGTGGTAGCCATGGGCATGCCACTGCACTCCAGCCTAGTGACAGAGTAAGACTCTGAGTCAAAAAAAAATTTTTTTTTAAATAGAATTACCATATGATCCAGCAATTCCACTGCTGGGTATATACCCAAAATAATTAAAAACAGGATTTCAAAGAGATATTTATACACTCATGATCACAGCAGCATTGTTCACAATAGCCAAAAAGTGAAAGCAACCCAAGTGTCCAAAGATGTTTAGATAAGCAAAATATGGTATATTCACACAAAGGAATACTATTCAGCCTTAAAAAGGAAGGGCATTCTGCTATAATATGGATGAAGCTTGGAGACGCTATGTCAAGTGAAACAAGTCAGTCCCCCTAGGACACTGTGTCAAGTTCACCTGTACAAGGTACCTTGATTAGTGAGAATCACTGGGATAAAAAGCGGAATGCTGGCTGTTGGGTGGTGGGAGGAGAGAGCCAGGAGTTAGTGTTCGGCGGGTACAGAGCATCCATCTAGGAGACGAAAAGACTTCTGGGAAGGTGGTGGTGATGCCTGCACAGCCAATATGAATGTGCTTAAAGCCACTGCACTGCACATTCTGAAAGGGTTAAAATGGTGTATTTTACATGACGTGTATTTTACCACAATTAAAATTGTTTTGGGAAAAGGAGTTTTTTTTTTTTTGAGTTGGAGTCTCACTCCGTTGCCCAGACTAGAGTGCAGTGGCCGCTTCCGGCCACTGCAGCCTCAACATGCTGGGCTCTGGGGATCCTTCTGCCTCAGCCTTCCAAGTAGCTGGAACTACAGGCACGCGCTACCACGTTCAGCTAATTTTTTTGATTTATTGTAGAGATGAGGTCTCGCCAAGTTGCCCAGGCGGGTCTTGAACCCACAGGCTCAGGCAATTCACTCACCTCAGCCTCCCAAAGCGCAGGATTACAGGCTGAGCCACCGGGCTAGGCCGGGAAAAGGAGCTTAAAAGGTCCCACTCTATTCCTGCGTCTGGACCTGCCAACTCCTGGTGTGAAAAGGACCCCCTTTCCACTTGGGCCATTGAACACTCAGAGGCTGGGCTCCTTCCTCTCTGCCTCTGTCCACGCCCCTTGACACCACACCCCCCCAAGTTCATGAAGCAGGGGACACTAGGAGGGATCAGTAGAGGAAAAAAAATCATCATCACTGATTTATAGTTGTTTGATCGCTTTATAAAGAAATACATTTATTTTTTCCATTAAAGTATGGTAATGTCATTACAAAGAATCTATGAAAAATAGAAGCAGAAAATGCCCCCCCCACACACACACCCTAGTTACACCTGCCTGGAGGTGAGTTTTCTCTTGTCTCTTCCAGGTACACAGTTGCAGTGAAAGCAACCAACCCAGCAGGTTCCAGAAGGATGTGCGTTGCAGCTAGAAGCCCAACTCCCACCTCCTGGGGCAGAAAACCAGACTCAAGAGCTGCCCCGCTCCTGGACAGCTGAGGAGGCCTCTCTCCCTGGGACAGCCTGTCTGTGCCTGCCTCCTGTTTCCACACCTCTACCGTGCTTCCATGTCCTTCCCTCAGCTTCTCCCACCCCCGCACCCAGCCTCCACCCCACCTCCAGGCGAGGACCAAGGCAGAGGCTTTTAAGAAGAGCCTTCTTCTGATGCTCCGAGTTCAAGCTACTTCATGGCCGAGAGGAGAGGTCACGTCTGCTCCACAAAGACCCGGCAGAGTGCCGAGACCTTTCCCCAAGGCAGCGTGGGCTCTCTTGCTGTTTGCCAACCAGCGATGGGCACCTGAAGACGCCCGCGTCTGTGGACCAAGGCGCTTTCCCACTGTTATTTTATATGATTTCTTCGCAGACATCAACTATTACTGTGTAGCATTGTTTGTAATAGCAAAATAGCCCACATATGCATTGACAGGGGACTAGCTGAATTAGGGCATGCTACATTCATGTGATGGACACCCTGCAGCTACAAAAGGTATCAGGAAGGTACCAGGGGGCTCCCTACCTATGGACAGGGTCAGAATTCCAGAACACATCCCTGAGTGGAAAAGTCTGGGGGGATACCATGTGTATACGGTATGATGCTATCTTCGTGAAAAAGAGAGTGGAAAAAAAGCAAACATCTGTAATTATATTTGCTTGTGAACACATAAAGAAATTCTGGAAGGACATATAAGAAACGAATAAAGATAGGGATAGCCTAAGAACAAGTCAATGGAGGATGAGGTGGGAGGAAGATGTTTTCACCGTCTGTGTTTTTATTTCCGACCATGTGATTCTTTGCCTATTCAAAAAGAAAATAAGGCCAGGAGTGGTGGCTCATGCTTGTAATTCTAGCACATTTGGAGGCCAAGGTAGGAGAATCACTCAAGCCCAGGAATTTGAGACCAGCCTGGGCAAGATGGTGAGAGCTTGATCCTATACAAAAAAAAATTTTTTTTAAAGTAGCCTGGCATGGTGACACATGCCTGTGGTCCCAGCTACTTGGGAGGCTGAGGCAGAAGGATCGCCTGAGCCCAGGAGGTCGAGGCTGTGGTGAGCTATGATTGTTCTACTGTACTCCAGCCTGGGCCACAGAGATCCTGGCTCAAATAACAACAACAACAAAAAGAAAAAGTACCCTCTTTTTACTTTTGAAATTGTACATGGGGATGCAATACCCAAAGCAGTTAAGAGTTGGCTTTTAGTCCGGCTACTAACTGGCTGTTTGGGGACTTGAGTAAGTCACACCCCCCTCTGGGCTTTAGTTTCATCCTCTTTAAAACAGGGAGTTAGACTCCACACTCTCATCTAGCTCTAAAACTCTCAAACTATGTCCTGCCTCCTCCAGGAAGCCTACCCTGATTGCCTCGGCCTACAGCAATCTTTCTCCTATGGGTCATATCATGACAAACCTAGAAAGGCTTACTGCCCCTTGTCCCTCCCCAGAAGACCTGCTTTCTTTGAGGGATTGGTCAGTCCTGAGCCCAGATCCTTGAAAGGCAGGCACACGCCAACTGGAGTCGCCAGGCTAGGGAAGAGACCAGACACCAGGCTAGGAAGGGACTGAGGAAACTCTTCCTGGTAGAGAGAAGCCACGCACATGAGCACCAAAGGGACAAGTCAAAGGGATGCCACCACATTCCATCCAGGGAGGCACTTTCTAAGTCAGGGCAGTCCAGGCGGGGGCGGCTACCTCAGGACGTGCAAGCTTCCTGTCCCTGAGGTGTGCATGTGACGGCCCCGAGTCAGGGATGCTGCAGAGGGAGTGCCAGCATTAGGCAGCGTCTGGGTGCCCCCTGACCCCGAGAAGCTGTGGTTCTCAGCTACATGACAGCACTTGAATTGCACCAGCAAAACCCGGGCTTCTGGGATGGAGAGCTGACTCCCGCCCCCACCCCCAAGAACCACATGGGGGGAAGAGCAGGAGAGGCCCTCCATGCTGACCCCAAGGAATGGCTCACACATTTGGGGGAGGGTGCAGGAGGAGAGAGGTCATCACCACATCTGTCGGGGTTGCTGCTGGTGGCTGCCTCCTTCCCTGCAGGTCCACCCTGGGTCTAACCCCTCCCAAACCTGCCTCAGGGCCCAACAAGTACAACTCTGGCATTGAGGAGCCCAGAGCCACCAGCCAGACCTTTCTTTGCTCCCACCCACTGAGCACCAAGCCATCCACTTGCTGTGTCCCCCTACAGACACAGAGACAGCAGGACTCAGATCCGCCTGGCCTGCTAGGCCCTCCCACCTCACCTTCAGACCTCAAACCCATCTCACCAGGTCCGTGTCAGAAGGGCCTCTGGGGGTGCTGGCAGTCTCGGGGCTGGCTTTTCCAGGTGGCACTGCATCTGGAGAACAAAGGTTACAGGCAGGTCAGGGACATCCGGGTGAGGGACATCTTGACCTGGGATAGTGACAGAGAGGAGGTCATTCTCCAGGGCATCGCATGGCATGGGGCAGCACTGACTGGCAATCAGAAGGAAAGCCCTCTCGGACATGAACCCGGCCAGGAAAGAGGGAGGTGGTGTTAGGGAGTGCTTGGTTTTGGCTCTAAACTCCAAGCACAACTCTTTCCAGCTCAGGGATACCAGCAAGGCAGAGGGTGGACAGTCACAAAGCCACTACCACTCACTGACTCTGCACACAGTGCGAGCTCCATGATAGTCCTCCTCATGTACACCTGGTGTTTATCGAATCTAAATCTCTCTTGCTTTAACAAAAAAAAGCTCTTCTCCCTGCCACTGCCCGGGTACAACACCCAAGGCAAGCTGTGTAAACTCAGTCCTGGGCCCAGACCCTGGACACACACCCACTGGAGCAATCAGGCAGGGGATCTGGGGTAACACTCACTGCCCAGGTGAAGGCCCAAGTTCACGGCCACTCTGGAGTCATTGTCCATCGGCTCCAGGAGGAGTGAGGACACCCCCATCACTGCACCTGCCCTGGTGCCTTCAGAACCCAGTCTTCTCCCCTTTCCCATAAGGCCCCTCACCAGCCTAGAGATTTCATCGATAGGTCCCGCTTGTGTATCCCCATCCTACACTTATATCAAAACCCCCCCCATGTCTCCAGTTCATACAGTACTGCTAGGACTCCGGGTTTGGACTGCAGAGCTGAGCTCTGTCTCGTTCTCCAGCTATGGGATGTCGCCCCAGTTTCTTGAGATCAGGAGCTCCTTGAGCTCAGGAGTTGGTCTGCTGACTCCTGACCTTCCATACGCCATGAAAGGTGGCACGAAGTCCAGACGGCAGGCCATCCGGGGCGAGGGGTTTCCTCTACTGGTCCACTGTGTGTTTTGGGAGGCACCCAACCACCCCCGGGAGGCTTTCTTAGCTCCCTTCTGCCCTAACCCCGCATCCCGGTGAACTTCTCTGTCCCTAGACTTAAGAGAACCCCTCCAGAGGTGGTTGGTCCCTCTGAGGCTAAAATGATACCAGCTTGGGTTCTCACCTTTGCAGTTTATCAACTCCCACTTGTTCCCCAAGGGTCACAAGGTCATTTAATCCACAGCTTCCTACAAATCGGTAAAACGTGCAACCGTGGGTGGCAACAGCCCATGTCAAGGCTCCTCTCCCCATAACCGACCAAGCCCAAGAGACCTAAGAAAAACCCAATTCCTTTTCTGTCCAGCGGAGACTATCTTTTCTGACTCGCCCTCTCCAGGGGGCGACAGCGAGGCACCAGCCCTTCCACTGCCAAGGGGCCACCCCGGAGGCGGCCCGGTGGCTTACCTGACCCCTGCGTGATGCGCGCCATGAGGTCCCGCAGGCGCGCCTTGAACTCGTCGAAGCCGTCGTCGGCGCACGCGGCGGCCTGCAGGCTCCGGGGCTCCTCCTGCCGCAGGCGACCGAGCGCGTCGCGCAGGAAGCCGTGCATGTCCAGCACCTCCTGGTCCGAGGCGTACTGCTCCATCCTCCTCACCAGGGTGCCGCCCGTGCGGATGCGCTGCAGCACGGCGTCCAGGCGGCCCAGCTGGCCCCCCAGCTCGTCGTAGTCGCGCCGGTAGCGCGCGTCCACCGCCTCCAACAGCTCGCGCTCCTGCGCCTGCACGTGCGCCACGACCTGGCTCACCCGCTTGCGGATCTGCTCCTGGGTGTCGGCGCGCGCGCGCCCCAGCTGGTCCACGGCCGCGCGCATCCGCTCGCACACCTGGCCGAAGGCACCTTGCTGCTCCTGCAGCGCCTGCGTCATGGCCATCAGCTCCTCCTTCCGCTGCTGGATCTCCTCATCGATGCCGCACTTGAGCGCGCTGTGGCTGCTGTTGTCCAGCAGCGCGCACGAGCAGCACAGCGGCTTGGCGCAGCCTCGGCAAAAGATGCTGCGAACACAGGGAGGCCGGGTTAGGGCGCCCCTGCCTTTCTTCCCTTGCGTGTTAGGTACTAAATTCCTCTTCCCAAATCACCCAGCTGTGAACCATGGTATGCTTCTGGGTCCGAGCTTTTCCCGATTCGGTGTCTGTGGTTATGATGATAGTTTCCAAACCACCAAGAAAACATTAGAGTAGAAAAAGTTACTGCAGTAACAATCCCTACATCCCTGAAACAACGCGGAGATACAAGAGGAAAGTGAGCATCTTGGTCCACCACTTCTGAATTTCCCTGGAGGCACCAGGTGGGCGTCACAGGGCAAAACCCCCCACACTCCTTTTCCATTCAAATCGCCTTATAAACACCCAGCCTGGGCTGCCGCTTGCAGGATTCTAGGGAGTTGACCCAAACCATCCATCCCACTTAATCTCAGCAAGAGTTACCTAGACGAGTATTACGGTTATTCTCATTTCACAGATGAAGAAACAGACACACAGACGTCAAATAATCGGCCCAGAAATCTACAACAATCTTGGAGGTTGACGTTGGTTCAAGACAATGAAATCATGCCCTATCATTCCTTGGCAACTTCCTTCTCTGTTGACCTTTCATGCAGAACATTGATCGAGGCCAGGGGTGCCCAACCTCTTGGCCTCCAGGTAAAGAGGAATTGTCTTGGGTTGCACATAAATTATGTAATATAGTTAGCATATATACACAATAAGATGTCTTTTTAAATATTTTTATTATAAAATTTAGAAAAATGAGAACAATATAAAACCAGTGGGAAATTTGACCTTGTTTTGTAAAATAAACCTATCAATGTCTGGTTCAATGCAAGTGGTCACCGTTCTTAGTGAGTTCTCAAGATGTTCATCAGAAATGTTTATTCAAATTTTGCTCTCTGTGTGCTTCATCGTTGAAAACAGCTGCTCACAAATGTCTACATTGCCAAAAAGCGATGTCATGAATAAGGTGTGATTGTGAACTTCAGAAATGGAATCACACATGGGGTCACGAAGAAAATGAATCCTGCAGAACATATGATATTAAAGGATTTTGTGGGGCCGCATGACTGGCTGTCCTGGGCCACATGTGGCCCTTGGGTGGTGGGTTAGACATGCCTGGTATAGGTCTACAGGCATGGGTCTGGTGTATTCTCTTTTATGGTAGCCTCATTCTCCAGATGGCCACAATGGATTCAATCATTCCCCTTTTTATGGACACTTAAATAGTTTGCATGCATGCCCACTCCAAATCTCATGTAAAAATGTGATCTCCAACGTCGGAGGTGGGGTCTAGGGTGACGTGCTTGGCCCATGGGGGTAGATCCCTCATGAATGGCTTGGTTCCTCCTGTTAGCAATGAGTAAGTTCTCCCTCTATTAGTTCACAAGAGAGTGCGTTGTTTAAGAGTCTGACAAGCCTGGGCAACATAGCGAGATCTTGTCTCTACAAAAAAATTTTAAAAATTAGCCCAGCATGGTGGTATGTGCCTGTAGTTCCAGCTACTCGGGAGGCTGAGGCAGAAGGATTGCCTGAGCCCAGGAGGTTGAGGCTGCTGTAAGCTGTGACTGTGTCACTGTACTCAAGCCTAGGCCATAGAGAGAGACCCCGACTTGAGGGGAAAACAATGTCTAACACCCCCTTTTCTCACTCTTGCTTCTGCTCTCTCCATGTGACAGGGCAGCTCCCCTACCCCTTTCACCATGATTGTAAGCCTCCTGAGGCCTCACAAGAAGCAGAGGCCAGCACCATGCTTCTTGTGTAGTATTCAGAACTATGAGCCCAAATAAACCTTGCTTCTTTAAAAGTTCCCAGCCTCTGGTAATCCTCGACAGCAACACAAAACAGACTAATACAGACATGCAGGTGATTTTCTGTTTGTACATTTTCTTTTCTTTCTCTCCTTCCTTCTTTCTTTCTTCTTTGGGGCAATATGAACAATGCTTGAGTAATATCCACATTCTATAGCCTAATCATGGATGCTTTTGCTTCTGTGAAATAGATGATAAATAATAGGATTGCTACATCAAAGAGTTTGTGTCTCTATGTTAATCTATTTATTTCATATATTTCAGCTAGCAGACACTTCCATAGCATTTACTATGTGTCAGACACTATTATAAGCATTTGGCAAATATTCACTCATTTAATCTTCCTAACAAGCCAGTGGAATAAGTACTATTATTATCCCCCTTTTTTTTGAGCCAGGAGCTCGCTCTGTCACCCAGGCTGGAGTGCAGTGGCACGATCATGGCTCACAGAAGCCTCAAACTCATGGCCTCAAGCAATCCTCCCTCCTCAGCCTCCCGGGTATTTGAGAATACAGGCACACGCCTACCTAATTTTTTTTTTTTGGTAGAGATAAGTGCTGGGATTAGGCATGAGCCACCAATTAATTAGACAATCTTAAATACTACACAATTAGAAAAAGAACTAATAACCTCAGAAAGCAATTGGCAACACCCTTCCAAATTACAAATTATTTATCCTCTGACCCAGCAGTCCTCTTTCTAGGTCTCATTTCTGCAATTCTGGCTCCACAGTTAAAATGGGATTTACTGCAGCACAGTCCATAAGAGCAAAGAGTCAGAAACACGTCAAGCGTCCATCACTAGGCAGTTAGTTACATAAACTCTGATACATCTATACAACGGAACACTATGCAGCTGTAAAAATTGGGGAAGCTCTTTACGGACTGATATGGGAAGTTCTCCATGGAGAAATGGGGTTAATAACAGGAGTACTGGCAGGATTGAATGACTTAATACACATCAAAAAGTTAGAACTCTGACTGCGTATAACAAGGGTTCAATAAATGTGTTTGTAGCCGGGCTTGGTGGCTCAGCCTGTAATCCCACGCCTTTGGGAGGCTGAGGTGAGTGGATTGCCTGAGCCCGCGGGCTCGAGACCCGCCTGGGCAGCGAGACCTCATCTCTACAGTAAATCAAAAAATCAGCCAGGCGCGTGGTAGTGCACGCCTGTAATTCCGGCTACTCAGAAGGCTGAGGCGGAAGGATCGCCGGAGTCCAGCAGGCGAGGCTGCGGTGGCCGGGAGCGGCCACTGCACTCCAGTCTGGGCGACTGTGTGAGACTCCAACTCAAAAAAAAAAAATGTGTTTCTATTATGATGATGTAGTTTTTAAGCATAAAATCAAAGTGCAGATGGCTGTGTGTTGGATGCCACCTTTTCTGTAAGAATGGAGAAAAATAAGAATATATTCATACTTGGTTGTGTTTGAATCAAGAAATCTTAGAAGGACACAAATTAATAAACATGATCACGGGATGTGGTGGGGTGGAGGTTGAGTGAGACGTTTCATGGTTTGCCTTTTTAGATTGATTTTATGTTTGAGCCTTGTGAATGTACACATGTATTTCCTTTTTAAAAAAGCAGAAGGCAGAAGTGTGGGCAACTCTGTAGGGGGTGGAACTAAAGGGACGGGAGCAAGATACAGGGGTCATTCTCCCACTTTGCACCCATGGGCGGGGCCGCATCTGATGTTGGCCCCCTTCCTTAGAGACGATGTCCAAGCCAGGGAGGGCAGCCCCAGATGGCCTGGGTGGATGTAGAGCAGGACCTTCGAGAGGACCACAGCCTCTCTCTGCTGGGTCCTATGTCTAAGCCCCCTCCACCGTGAATGAGGTCTCTGGCGAAACTAGCCCCTGCTCCCCCCACCACATGGAAATGCACAAAGTAACCTGGTCAGCCTGAATCAGACACCCGAGTCTGAAGTCCCCAGCCCTCTATAAAGACTGAAGGGCATGAGGGGCTGCCAGCCAGGGCCTGAGATGACCTCCTTAGCCAAGTGGTTCCTTCAGCTTTATTTAAAGGACACTCACTGAGCACCTAGGGGGTGTTTGGCACAGTGGGGGAGGCAGAAGTGAGATGGGCCCCGGCCCAAAGGGAGCTCTGTGAAAAGAATCCAGGCTTAACTGCATCTCTGGAAAGGCAAAATACTATAATACTCAGAAGAATGAACTAAAACACCACTATATTAAAAAGACACTGCTCAGCAAAGTGGTTAGATTTCACAAGAACTGAGAGGAAAAAAAATAGCTTAATTCTATGCCAGCAAAGCAAACGAAAAGAAAGATGGGGGAAAATTCCATGTTCCCATTCACTACAGCAGTTCAAAAAATGCTACTAAGTAAGACTCGCACCCATACTTGGGAGGCCAAGGTGGGAGGATCACCTGAGCCCAGGAGTTTAAGGCCAGCCTGGGCACCAAAGCCAGACCCCATCTCTAAAAAATAAAATTAAAAAATTTTAAATGGTAAAAAAAAAAAAAAAGAAACCACCCAGACATAATCCTAACAAGGAATATGTAGGAATCATAAGGAGAAAATAACAAAAGCCCACTGAGAGATAAAGTTTAAAAAAAAACCAGAAAAGTCTGTCAAGGTCCCAGTTAGAGAGACTAAATAATAGATCATTAATTCTCCTCCAGTTTAAAGCAATTTTAATCAAATTAGGAATGAGGTTTTGAAACTTAACCAATTTTACATTTCATATGAAGGAATGGATAAACAGATCAAATAGCCAAGGAATTTCTGAGGAAACTTGTGTTAGGAAGGGGAGTTTTCCCTACTCTGCCATTATTAGGAGAGTATGTATTGTATACTCCTGAGAGTCCAGAAAAAGATCAGGAGAACAGACCAGACAGGGCTGATTAGGAAGGTCCTGTTTTACATAACAAAGAAAGCCTCTATTGAATAGGCAGTAGAGGGGGTTTCAACAGTTGGAATCAGGGAAATTGGCAGGGGGCAGGGTGAGAATGGGAACCAAGTGAGAGCCTTTCTTCTGGCTTCACAGCAAATGCATTTCCCGTGGGCTACTGCACTACATGCGAAAAATCACACCACAAAGGAAAAACTACCACTGGCTATTTCCTCTCGTGATTCTAAAGCCCTTATAATCACTGAAAATTAAGGAAATTACACAGTCAATAGACAACACTGCCTCCAACCTCAAAACTATATATTTTTAGAAAAACATTCATGACTTA